AACAGTAGTGCTGAAAAGTCTCAAAACAATTCTGGTTTTAATGGTAAAGTGTTGTTTCATCTGATTATATTTTCGTTGCCTACAGCAATGTCATCGAATATTCTACGTACTGGCTATACAACGTAAGTTGGCTGGTGTCTTTGAGTTCTAATTTTTTGAAATGGTCATAGTTATAAGTAAGTTGGAATACTAGTAAAATTTGATTTAAGGTAATCTCTTCCTGCATATGCTTCAATTTTTTTAGTTAGTTTTTTTTCAATTATAAAACGTAACATTGCATTTTTTTACGGGTTTTTGCGTGGGTATTGTAGAAAGAAGAAGCTTAATGCTAGAATCATCGATTCCTCTTATTATTCTTAATGTAGATTTGTATAATGATAATTTATCATAATGCTTATACTTGTCGAGGTAGGTCTTATTAGCAAGAAGAAAATTGTCTTAACTGTAATTGATAGTTGATAATCTTGTTTTAAGCTTTTTACCAACGTATTTTTCTAAATTGGTATGTTGTCTCATAGAGACATTTTAACTCGTCTCCAATGAAGCAAAACATTATAGTGAAAGCAATCTTCTGTCATTCATTGTTTTTATAGTACAAAAAATGTGTTCTCTTAAGCAATGCTAATTAACATTTTATTTACGCATAAGGAGTGCTTGTTGTTAAGCAAACTATTTACGTTTATTATTTGAATTAGCTACATCAATCAAGGTTGTTAAGAATCAAAATGACTTTTGGCAGTTGTTTAGATGGCATAAACTGTGATTCAATCATATAAACTAATGCGTTATAAGAATTCTTTAAAATGCATAGCTCATATACTACTGAAATGCATGAACTTATTTTTATCTTGCCCTGATAATTGGGTTGTTTCGGTTGCTATTTTTTCGTTTATTGTATTTATTATAAATTATAAGTTCTTGTTTATTTAATTTTTTTCTAAAACGTTTGTATGCTTTATTTTACAATATGTTCAATTTGCAACTAGAATAAAGATGTTTTCTTTCTCGAGGCAGGTATTGCTTTATTCAGGAGTAAGTACTTCGTTATTACCTCCATCTATTGTTCCAATTATTTTCTTCGATTATTACCTTACAAATTTAAGAAAGGCAGTCTTGTTTTCATTTTATAATTTCTTTAAACGTTTGCATTGTAAGATTAAATCGACGCCCCGGGCGAAGACGCCCCTGCTTCGAAGCCTGGACGAAGACTATGCCTTTTTCCGCAGTCCGGACGAAAACTATGCCCTTTTAGGATCCCAGACGAAGACTATGCCCTTTTCTGGAGTCCGGACGAAAACTATGCCCTTTTGTCTGTTCCAGACGAAAACTATGCCCTTTTAGGATCCCGGACGAAGACTATGCCCTTTTCTGGAGTCCGGACGAAAACTATGCCCTTTTGTCTGTTCCAGACGAAAACTATGCCCTTTTAGGATTCCGGACGAAGACTATGCCCTTTTCCGGAGTTCGGACGAAGACTATGCCCTTTTCTCGCGATTGGACGAAAACTATGCCATTTTCTTGAGTCCAGACGAAAACAATGCCCGTTTTTCCTAGTCCATTTGAAGATTATTACATTTTTTCCGAGTCTGGACAAAGACATTGACTTTTTCTGGAGCCCGGATGAAGTACAATTCATTTAAGCTCACCTCACATTTGCGTTTGTTTTTAGATATATAGTCAAATATACTTATGTAGTGGTTGTTGTTTACATTTATATAAATAATTGTAAATAATAGTTCAAACTCAGGAATATTTTTATAAGTATGGTAATTTACAATTAATGATTATGAAAGACTCTTTTATGTTTTATTTCCAAATTTATTATTTTTTCTACATTTTTGTTGATTA